TGAGCCAGGCACTGTGTGCCATACTGCCTGTAGTCCCAACTACGCAAGAGGATGAGACAGGAGGGTTGTTTGAGCCCAGGAGTTTGAGGTTTTGGTGCACTATGTTTGCTCCTATGAATAGCAAAGTAAGAATCCATGGATTGGGTAATTTATTAAAAAAAAAAAAACAAATTTCTTACAGTTCTAGAGGCTGTGAAATCCAAGAGCACAGCACCTACAACACTGCTGAGACCATCACATAACAAGAGGGCAAGAGTGTGCCAACTGACATCTCAATTCCTCTTCTGAATTCTGTCACAGGGGCCCCACCTCCAAATACCATCAACATATGAAATTGAGAACTAAGTTTCCAATACAGGAAACTTGGGGGACTCATTCAAACTGCAGCAATGTGAGACATTCCTAAAGACAATTTATCAAAATAGACACAAGAAGAAATAGAAACTATAAAGTTCTTGTAGTGGATTAAATATGGGCACAAATTCTTTACATCCAAATACCATCAAAAAGTGAAGTCTCCACATCCTTTTAATCTGGGCTGGACTCATGATCACTTTGACTAATAGAATGCAGTAAAAGTGATGTCCTTTTCTGAAACATTTTTTTGGGGGGACAAGGTCTCACTCTGTTACCCACACCAGAGTGCAGTGGCATTATCATAGCTCACGAACCTCAAATTCTGAGACTCAAATGTTCCTCCTCCCTAAGCCACCTAGGTAGAACTACAGGCACATGCCACTGTACTCAGCTAATTTTCTTATTTTTTGTAAAGATGAGATCTTGCTATGTTGCCCAAGGTAGTCTCAAACTTCTGGCCTCAAGCAATCCTCCCACCTCCGCCTCTCAAACTGCTAGGATTAGAGGTGTGATTCATCATGCAGGGCTAAAGTGACTGAGGTTACCCATTTTCACTCTCCTGGACCCCTGAGACTAGCACATAAGGAAACTGATCTAGCCACATAAAGAGGTTCTAAAAAATAATGTGAAAAAACTGGATGTGCCTATAGTCCCAGCTACTTAGGAGTTTGAGGCTAAATGATTGCTTGGGCCCAGGATTCTGAGTCCAGTTGGGGCTGTGTAGTGAGACCTCATCTCTTAAGGTAAAAATAAAATGTCACCTGAATTTCCATTTTGTCTGTTCTAATTATATCTCTTGTAGTTGTATGAAGCAGAACCCCACTCAAGCTTACTCAAGCAAGTAAGCTGGGCTGAAAACATGCACACAAATCTGAAGGCTCAATCCATGGCCCAAGGAAAGTAGAGATGCAAACAGAAAGCCACTATGACCCAGGTAGCCCTTTAGGGAAGTCAGAGGAATTGATCACAATCTCTCCACTACCTGGATTTCCTCCTATCTTAGCCACATGGCATCTGGTGGCTCTTGCAACCCTGCCTGTACAAGATTTCCACCCTGGCTCCTAAACCAATAATTTTCTTTTTGTCTTGGAGATTAATCCCCAGGAGACACGCTTATGGACCAGGCTCATTTTTCTAAGCCGGAGCATTAAGCCTTAGGTTTCAAATAGCAAGTTACTCCATTTCCAGAGGTTTGGAATCACTTCCAGGGAAGAGGAAATCGTCTGAATGGTGAATCTGGGTGCAGGTCAAAGACATGCTCAACTCAGCATCCTGCGTACTTGCCCATCTGCTCTGTCCTCTCCCCCTGCTGGGGAGTCTGACATCCCAAGAAGCCACAGCAGATATACAATTTTAATGCAATCCCTATTAAAACTCCACTATCATACTTTAAAGATCTTGAAAAAATAATACTTCATTTTATATGGAATCAGAAAAAAACTCAAATAGCCAAGACATTACTCAGAAATAAAAATAAAGTAGGATGAATTATGTTTTTACCAGACCTCAGACTATACTATAAATCGATAGTGATCAAAACAGCATAGTACTGGCACAAAAACGAGAGGGAGATGTATGGAACAGAATAGAGAACCAAGAGATAAACCCAGCTACTTACTGTTATTTGATCTTTGACAACCCGAATTAAAAACATTCAGTGGAGAAAATAGTCTCTATGTAACAAATGGTGCTGAGTGAACTGGCTGGCGACCTGTAGAAGACTGAAACGGGACCCACACCTTTCAGCATTAACTAAGATAGACTCTCACTGGATTAAAGATTTAAACTTAAGATATGAAACTACAGGCTCGGTGCCTGTGGCTCAAGTGGCTAAGGCGCCAGCCACATACACCTAAGTTGGCAGGTTCAAATCCAGCCCGGGTCCACCAAACAACAATGATGGCTGCAACTGAAAAAAAAATAGCCAGGCGTTGTGGTGGGCGCCTGTGGTCCCAGCAACTTGGGAGGCGGAGACTGGCTTGAGCCCAGGAGTTGGAGGTTGCTGTGAGCTATGCCATGGCACTCTACTCAGGGGGACAACTTGAGGCTCTGTCTCAAAAAAACAAAAGATATGAAACTACAAAAATACTAGAAGAAAGTGCAGGGAAAACTCTTGAAGAAATCGGCCTGGGTGAATATTTTATGAGGAAGACCCGTCAATGGAAGCAGCATCAAAAATACACTACTGGGACCTGATCAAACTAAAAAGCTTCTGCACAGCCAAGAACACAGTAAGTGTTCAGAACGGGACAAGATATTTGCAGGTTATGTCTCCAACAAAGGTTTTAATAACCAGAATCCACAGAGAACTCAAACATATTAGCAAGAAAAGGACAAGTGATCCCATTTCAGGGTGGGCAAGAAGCCCAAGTGCCCATCAACTTGAAGAGAAACTTCTCTGAAGAAGACAGGGGCATGGCTTACAGACATATGAAAAATGCTCATCATCCTTAATCATCAGAGAAATGCAAATCAAAACTACTTTGAGATATCATCTAACTCCACTAAGATTAGCCCATATCACAAAATCCCAAAACCAGAGATGCTGGTGTGGATATAGAGAAAAGGGAACACTCCTACACTGCTGGTGGAAATGCAAACTAATACGTTCCTTTTGGAAAGATGTTTGGAGACCACTTAGAGATCTAAAAATAGACTTGCCAATTCCTCTACTAGGTGTATATCCAGAAGACCAAAAATCACATTATAACAAAGAATGTTTATTGCAGCCCAATTCATAATTGCTAAGTCATAGAAGAAGCCCAAGTGCCCATCAACCCATGAATGGATTAATAAATTGAGGTATATGTACACTATGGAATATTAAGCAGTCTTAAAGATGGAGACTTTACCTTTTACATGTTTACAAGGAGGGAGCTGAAACATATTCTTCTTAGCAAAGTATCTCAAGAATGGAAGAAAAAGTATCCCACGTACTCAGCACTACTATGAAAGCCCAAGAAGAAGGGGAAAGGGGAGAGGGAGGAGAGGGGAAGGAAGTGGGGAGGATAGGTGAAGGGAGGGTAATTGGAAGGATTACACCTGTGGTGCATCTTATAAGGGTACATTTATAAGGTGAAATTTACTAGGTGTAGAATATAAATGTCTTAACACAATAACTAAGCAAATGCCATGAAGGCTATGTTAACTAGTTTGATGAAAATATTTCAAATTGCATATAAAACCAGCACATTGTACCCCAAGAATATTGTTCACAGCTATGATTTAATTAAAAAAAAAAAGCCACAGCAGCCAGAGTTGTTACTTTCCCAGATCTAATCAGCATCTCTTCCATATGCTGAAGGCTGATTACCTGATCCTGTTACACTCTGCTCAGGGCTCTAGTCTGACAGCAGGAGCACACTCTGCCCACACAGTGCAGGTCAGAAGCGTCTGAAAGTCAGCTCGGCGCCTGTGGGTCAAGTGGCTAAGGTGCCAGCCACATACACCTAGGGTGGTGGGTTCGAATCCAGCCCAGGCCCACCAAACAACAACAACGGCTGCAACCAAAAAATAGCCAGGTGTTGTGGCAGGCGCCTGTGGTCCCAGCTACTTAGGTGGAGGTAGGAGACTTGCTTGAGCCCAGGAGTTGGAGGTTGCTGTGAGCTGTGATGCCACAGCACTCTACCCAGGAGGATAGCTTGAGGCTCCGTCTCAAAAAAAAAAAAAAAGATGTGTCTGAAAGTCAATGCCCCTAACAGTCCTCCATAACAGATGAGGAGCTGGTGGGTAAACACAATTCCCTTGCCCCTTAATAGGGTAATGGAGATATGATCTATACAGGTGCCCAGAGGTCCCCAGTGGGATGAGCCCAGTTGCCCACAGTGGTAACTGGCTTGATAATGCACCTTTTATTAGCTGCCTTCCTCTCTGTCTCCCTTCTCTACTCCCCTACCAGTGTTCTGGAATCAAATTCAAAATATACTATCTGCACTCAAATTCTCAGGGTTGGCTTCTGGAGGAATGCAAAGAAAAAACAGAAATCCAGGGCACAGACTTCTAAGCCACATTCTTTCACGTAGTTGTTTCCATCTTCACTGCCTAATAAACGCCTCATGCCTTAACTGGTTCTAAATTCAGCAGGGAAAGAGGCATATTATTTATTGCTCCCCCAAGCTTCCAGAAAATGCAATAAAGATCTGAAGAAGACAGAAGTAGACAGAAGAAAAGGCTTTTTCCCATGAGCATGCAGCAGGAAACAAAAAATAGCTATTTGGCAGAGTTAATAAAGGAAGAGGGGTCCTTCTAACCCTGGTGAACAGGCGATAAGGGATTTTGCCCAGGAAGCTCTCTGCGACTTTTCAGGTGCTAACGGCAGGAATAAAAGCCCAGTATACAGAGTCTTTATTTATTGAGAGTCCTGACATCCAGGAAAGCCAGGCCCACAGCCAGGGCCCTCAAGACTCCATCTGGTCACTCTGCGGGGGTGAGGACGTCAAGTAACTAGCCATCGTGTTCAGTTTTCCTGCAGTCAAAGGAGTCCTCAGGAGGCAGGAAGTGGCTGTGCCTATGGAGAAAACACATCAGTACTACCAGCAGGTCTTCTGTGCCCAGCCCTGAGTCCTGGTGGGGAGATTATGCAGACCTCCCCTGCGGCCAGCCTTGCAGAGCCCATAGTTTGGAGGGAGAGTCAGGAATTGCCATGTGAACAAGTCAGCTGTGGTGAACTGTCACTAGAAGCAGAGCGGTCTCATGCTGCTGAGGGCACCTCCTGTGTGCTCAGCAGGCAAAGCAGGGAAAGACAGACAATAAATGCACAAAAATATGTTAACCTGTGGGAAATTCTATGATGAAAACTAAATCAGGGTAAAGAGCAGAGGCATGTGTGGAGGGGAGGGACATGTGGCACCTTTTTTTTTTTTTTGAGACAGAGTCTCACTCTGACACCCTGGGTAGAGTACCATGGCGTAATCATAGCTCACAGCAACCTCAAACTGCTGGGTTCAAGGGATCCCCCTGCCTCAGCCTCCCGAGTAGCTGGAACTACAGGCACCCACCACAGTGCCCAACTATTTTTTCTGTTTTTAGTAGAGTCAAAGTCTTGCTCTTGCTCAGGCTGGTCTCCAACTACTGGGCTCAAATAATCTACCTGCCTTGGCCTCCTAGAATGCTGGGATTATAGGGCTGAGCCACTGCACTCAGCCAACATGTAGCACTTTTTTTTTGCAGTTTTTGGCCAGGGCCGAGTTTGAACCTGCCACCCCCAGTATTTGGGGCTGGCGTCCTACTCCTTTGAGCCACAGGCGACACCCAACATGTAGCACTTTAACTGTCAGCTACGATTAAATGCTAGATGTTCTCACAAGTCTTTATATCACATTGCGTGAAATGGGAATGTCTGTGTTTGCCACTGTGTACACGTGACAACAAAGGAGGCCCAAATCTCCCAGCCCCAGCTAAAAAGGAAAATCTGTAATTGAGGTGCCACCACCAGGAGGAGGAGGAGGCTGGTGGGAAGGAGCTAGGCATTAGTTACTCTGACTGCATCAGATAGTCATAAGCAGGTTTTAAAGGGGAGAGCTGTGACCTAATTTCCATTTTTAAAATCTCCTTTGGCTGCCAGAACTGTCAGGGGAGAGATGGGCACAGAGAGATCAGTGAGAGGCTGGTTGGTCATCCCGGGAAGGAAAAGCAAATGGCTCTAGGACAGGAGGTTGGGTTTGTTTGTTTGTTTTTGAGGCAGAGTCTCACTATGTCACCCTGGGTAGAGTGCTGTGGCATCACAGCTCACAGCAACCTCAAACTCTTGGGCTTAAGTGATTCTCTTGCCTCACCCTCCTAGATTGCTAGAACTACAGGCACCTGCCACAGTGCCTGGCTGGTTTTTGTTGTAGTTGTCGTTGTTTGGTAGACGTGGACTGCCAGCCCTGGTGTATGTGCCCAGTGCCCTAACTGCTGAGCTATAGGCACCAAGCCGAGGATGGGGTCTTAAGTGCTCAGATGGAAAAAAAAAAAAAAAAACTAGAAAGAAAGAAATGTCCTCAGCACATGACTAAAAACTAGTGTGGACAGTATGTATTCACTTCTGAATGTTTCCTGAGAAAAATTAAATTTCTTCTGGCTGGTTTCTCCCCTTAGGGTCCAAACCTTTCGTATACCCCTGACCCCTGCCTCATAAAAAGAATCAACAACTGTTGGGCCTGGTTAGAAGACCATCTCTCTAATCTTTAGCTGAGAGCTCCCTCAAAGCAGGAAATGGGAAGGAAATAATTACAAGGCATAAAATATGAGCTGTAAAGGAGGGGCTCAGGGACCTTGGGAGCCCAAGGATAGGGATGAAGCATTAGAGAGGTTTTCTTTTTTTTTTTTTTTTTGAGACAGAGCCTCAAGCTGTCCCCCTGGGTACAGTGCTGTGGCAACACAGCTCACAGCAACCTCCAACTCCTAGGTTCAAGCGAGTCTCCTGCCTCTGCCTCCCAAGTAGCTGGGACCACAGGCGCCCACCACAACGCCCAGCTATTTTTTGGTTGCAGCCATCATTGTTGTTTGTCAGAACCAGGCTGGATTTGAACCCACCGCCTTAGGTGTATGTGGTTGACGCCTTAGCCACTTGAGCCATAGACACTGAGCCAGAGAGGTTTTCTAAGAGAAGTGGGTGTTGTCTATGTTGGGATAGGAATTAACTCCAAAATGGTTGAGGAAGGGCAGTCCAGGCAGAGGAAACTGTTGGACAAAAGCAGTGACTACAGGCACTTGAGTGATTGCATGTTCATGGGGGCTGGAACACAGAGCATAAGGTGGAAAGTGGGGAGAGGTGGGGTAGAAGTCACAAGAGATGCTTGCCACAGGGCCTGGGGGTATGCTGGTTCTGAGATTTAGCCTGGTAGAAGTGAGTACCATGGAAAAAGTTCTAAGTAGAAGTAGAACATGGTCCGATTTTCTCTGAGATCACTCTGGACTATCACAGAGAACAAAATGAATGGCAAGATGAAGTATGGAGGAAGTATGGAGGCCTAGAAGAAGGTTGTTCTAGTGTAAGACAGAAGACAGGGCTGCAGGGACAAGAAGTTACCACAGAAGAAGGTGCTCAAAGGGGCTGGAGAAAGATGTGACTTCTGGAGCTCATAGTCCAGCGGGAGAAGTGTAAACATCTAGGAGTAGTTTGCAACCTGTTATCCATTTGTTGCCCCCTCCCCAGGAGACTTTCTAGATTTTGGTTCTAATTGCTCCATCCATGAAATTTTAATATTACAGATATATTGTCTGTTTACATCCTGTATGCATTAAAAAAGAGTAAAACTTCTGGTTCGGCACCCATAGCACAGTGGTTATGGTGCCAGCCACATGCACCACAGCTGGCGGGTTCGAGCCCAGCCCAGAGCAGCTAACCAACAATGACAATTGCAACAACAACAACGAATAGCTGGGCACTGTGGCAGCCCCTGTAGTCCCAGCTCCTTGGGAGGCTGAGGCAAGAGAATCGCTTAAGCCCAAGAGTTGGAGGCTGCTGTGAGTTGTGACCCCCCGGGTGACATAGTGAGACTCTGTCTCAAAAAAAAGAAAAGACTACGATTTCTTTTTGCCCATACCACTGCCTCTGCCAGTATAAAGAGCAGTGAGGAAGGGAGAGAGAGGGTAAGGGAGAAGGTGGATAAGGTCAGCCTGAGGAAGAACAGAAAACCCAGCAAGTACTTGGATTTTGTTTTCAGTGTGAATGGGTAGCCACTGGAGAGCTTTAAGGCATAATGTGACTTAACTTCCCTTCTTAAATCCTTACTCAATGAAGTATGGAGAGAAGAGAGATATGAGACAGCATTGGCAGGTTGAAGCAATGCCGCCAGGGAGAAGGCTGAGGCAGTATCCTGGCAGTGGAGCAGGGTGGTTGGACTAAAGCAGGGGCTGTAGGAGGACAAGAGGTAATCATGTTCTGCATTCTGGATGCACCGAAAAGGTTTGTATGGTAGTGGGGTGGGGCCGAGGATGCCTCCAAGGTCTTTACCTGAACAACTACAAGGATGAAGGCAATTGTTACAGAGGAAAGAGATGAACTGGCATACTCTCCTTACCTCCAGAGTTGTGGGGGAGCGTGGTGGCTGCACCTGCTCAGCACACTGCAGGAAGCGGCGCACATGCTCTGCACAGTTGCCTACAGCTGCCTCATTCTTTCGAAGACACTCCTCGAAGGCCTCAAAAGGCTCAGCACAGGCTTGGCGGATTTGACGGATGATTGGGCTGTGGGGGTAGGGCAGTTCAGACCCTGGGAGATCGCCATTCCATTGCCCACCCGCCAATGCTGTCTCATATTTGCCCACACTCACTGGGAGGATGTGCATCTAGCAATGCTCATCTTAAGGTAGTGACAGTCCCGCTGCCATGATTCAGGCTTGGCCGCCACACACTGGCCATACTGCTCCAGTTCCCGGCCACAGTATCGAGCAGTGACTTCCAGGGCTGCCTGCCTGTTGGATAGGGTTGGCTGAGGATAATTCTAGGCAGCAGGCAAGCAAAGGAGTTGTAATCTGGGTAGGACTAGGTGTCCTGGGCAGATCTGGTAGTCTGAGGGATTCTAGAATGCTGCCAAGGAAGTGTGAAGGTGAGGCCTGGCCTTGAGGGTTGTGAACCAGGGTGGGAGCTTCTGGAGGAAGTAGTTGTGGTCATAAATCAAGGTCTGATTATTCTGCGGTAGGACCTGGAGGTCCTAGAATAAAAGTCTTGGAATCTAGGCATCCCCCAGTAGGCTTAGGGATCATTCAGAGACTTAAGGCCTTAGAAGTAAGATCTAGAGTTCGTGACAAAGAACTTGGGAGCCCTAAAGGAGTTTTCAGGTCTTGAAAGTGAGATTTAGAAGTCCAAGAGGTGAGGGGTGTCTCAGGTCCTGGGGAAGGGTCTCTTGACCAGTCTTTGAGGTGAAACCTGAGGTCCTGGGGTAGATTTGAGGGTCCTGAGATGAGACTCAGGATCCTAGGGGTATAATCTGGAAGCCCTGGGTGAGGCTGGGGCTCTAAAGTAAATCTAGACAGTCCTACATACAATTAAGTTCTTAGGATTTGGGCAGACAAGGTCTGGGGTCATGGGCAGATGTGGAAGGTCCAAAAGGTAAGGTTTGGTGATCCAAGGGGATCACCTTGGGGCTCTAAGGAAGAGTTTAGGAGACTTAGATGTCCTTAAACAAATCTGACGTGCTAGGGTTGCCGTTTGAAGGCAAAGACTGGGGTCCTGGGGAAGTCCAAATCCTCCATGACGAGGGGGAGGGGCCTAAGAGCTCAGAGGGCGGGGCTTTGGCGTGCGGTGGGGTGGGACTTGTGAGGGAAGACGCAGAGCCCTGACCGTCGGAAAGGACCTCCCGAGGTCCTAGGCTACGTCCAGGTCACTGGGGAAGAAGGGCGCGGCGCCACCTGCGGGGCAGGCGATCCCGCTACTCACATCTTGAGACCGGAGCCGATGCGGGTCAGGCAGGCAGGTGCGACCCGCCCCTTCCGGTTCAAGTTCTCTGGGAGACGGCCAGCCCCGCCCTCGCTGCCGCCTTTCTTCCGGTCGCCGCAGCGTGGACGAGCGTCCTATTCGCTTAGGCCCAGCCGGTCCCGGCGGCGCCCTACCTCTTTTTCTGGCCCGACCCGTCATGGTGGTGCCTTGCGTAGCCACTTCCATTTTCAGCCCGCCAAGCTGCCTTATCTTTTCCTATTTCTGGCATGGCGTGGCAGCGCCCCGGGTTCAATGGAAGTAAGCGGTGGAAATGACAGCGGTGCCTCGGCCCCAAAGCGAGTGCGGCGCCTCACCCGGCTAAGTCGCAGCCACGAGCGTTCCACGTCTCTTGACTGGAACTGGTGGCGAGCTCCTGTCCACATGCTGTTCGCGGCTTACTTGGGCGCTGTGGCTGCGGCTGTGGGCTGCTGGGACAAATCCCTAATATTGCGCTGCCACCATTAGCCTTGGCGCATAAGCTTGTCGTCCACCCTGGACAGTGGTTCCTGCAAGCGCTCGGAGCCAAAGCGCACAGCCCTCCTGCCCATGCTAGGCTTCCCAAAATGTGACCCTTGTCCTTTGGCAGAGGCCGTAAAGTCAAGACACATGTGGCCTTAATCTTTTATGTGACCATTGGCAAGTTATTTGTCTCTAATTTCTCCTGGTATGGTCATTTATATTCCTCCTAGTGTAGCGATGTCTCCACCTCCCTTCCCTTCTGTCTGCAAAGTCTGAGGTTAGACCTGGGTGTGAGTTTCCCCATTTATGAGACTTGGACACAGCACTGAGCATCAGTCCTGCTCATACGCAGATCTTTCAAGACTCTAGCCAAAGTGAGCAGAAAATGCAGTTAATCACATTGTTTAAGAGGAAAAAAAGCTCTTTGACTGTGAGCAAATGATAACCACTTGTAGTTTGAATGTGCTCATCTGTAAAATGGGAGTTTTGGCAATGACATCCTTCATATTAGGACAGGGCAACTGAACAGTTTCACACAGACAGTGGAGCTGCAGGAGTTCTGAATAAGTGAGAGGCTGTAACCACAAGCTGCCCTGGTGACTGCACCATCTATATCTATCTCATATGACTTGGGTAGGTTTAGAACCATAGGCACTCAAAGGAAACTTTACATCTTGAGATCTTTTCATTTTTCCTTCTTGAAAAACTTCTAGGTGCCTGTTTGATGGTAGACCAGGGGAAAGCAACAGTATAAGGTCTGTGGGAAGAAATAGAGTACTCTTTGGCTCAACTGTGGACTGAATCCTTAGATTTTCCTCTCTTGGCTCAGCGCCTGCGGCTCAAGTGGCTAAGGCGCCAGCCACATACACCTAAGGGGGCTGGTTCGAATCCAGCCGGGCCCACCAAACAACGATGACAGCTGCAACCAAAAAATGGCCGGGTGTTGTGGCAGGCGCCTGTGGTCCCAGCTACTTGGGAGGGGGAGGCAGGAGACTCACTTGAGCCCAGGAGTTGGAGGTTGCTGTGAGCTGTGATGCCACGGCACTCTACCCAGGAGGACAGCTTGAGGCTCTGTCTCCAAAAAATAAAATAAAATAAAATAAAAAGATTTTCCTCTCTTGTGAGAATGAAATCTTAATCCATCCCTTGCCTTTGTTGGTACTCAAAAACAACACCCCAAAGACTAGCACTTCAACATGCTGAGAAGCCTGAAAAACAACCACAGAATCAAGATCCCTCTAGTCTTTTTTTTTGTTTTGTTTTGTTTTTTTTTTCAGTTTTTGGCTGGGGCTGGGTTTGAACCCACCACCTCCAGCATATGGGGCCAGCACCCTACTCCTTTGAGCCACAGGCACTGCCCAATCCCTCTAGTCTTATTAAATGTCCCTCACCCCCTAGTAAAAGGAGGGACTCTGGAATTTCTTTATCTGACAAAAAAACTTTCTTTCCAAAGAAAGGCAGTTGTCTTAAAGCCCCTCTCTAGGGATCTCATCACAGAAGCAGGAAAGAAAGATCAACCACCTGACCAGGCGTGGTGGCTCTCACCTATAATCCTAGCACTCTGGGAGGCTGTGGGGAGTGGATCCCTTTAGCTGTGGAGTTCAAGACCAGCCTGAGCAAGAGTGAGACCCCATCTCTACTGAAAGTAGAAAAACTAGTTGGGCATTCGGGCAAGCCCCTACTACTAGCCCCCCTACTACAAGCCCCCCTCCTAGCTACTTGGGAGGCTGAGGCAAGAGGATAGCTAAGCTGAGATTGCTGTGAGCTTATGATGCCATGACACTGTACCCAGGGCAACAGAGTGAGACTCTATCTCAAAGGGAAGGGAAGGGAAGGGGAAGGGGAAGGGAAAAGAAAAAATAAAATATATCAACCACTGTTCTTCTGGTAGTAGCTCTAAGAGTTAAAGTCCTGTGGGACTTTATCTGTATAATAAGATGAACTTTGTTCCTGTATGGCTCTACCTTTTGCCTTCCCATAATGTCTGCCTCCCACCTCAAAGGTTCACTTGTCCTCCCTAAAGATTCATTACCCCGCTAAAGAATCATAAACATTTCTCACCTCCCCTCACCCTCGTGAAAAAGGGCATGTAAGTTTACTGAATTATTGAGTAATTCTGTGGTTCCCTCATGCTATGTGAGTTAAAATAAAATCTATATACCCCTTCTATGAACCTGACTTTTTTCTTTCTTTCCTTTTTGTTTTTGAGAGAGGGTCTCATTCTATTGTCCAGGCTATAGTCCAGTGGCATCATTACAGCTCACTGCAACCTCTGACTCTTGGCTTGGCACCAGTAGCACAGTGGTTACGGCACCAGCCACATAAACCCAAGTTGGCGGGTTCAAACCTGGCCCAGGCCAGGTAAACAACAACAACTGCAACAAAAGATAGCCGGGTGTTGTGGCGGACACCTATAGTCCCAGCTACTCAGGAGGCTGAGGCAAGAGAATCACCTAAGCCCAGGAGTTGGAGGTTGCTGTGAGCTGTGATGCTACAGCACTGTACTGAGGGCAATATAGTGAGACTCTTCCTCAAACAAACAAACAAACAAAAAAAAAAACCCTCTGACTCTTGGGCTCAATTGATCCTCCTGTCTCAGTCTCGTGAGTAGATAAATAACAACAAAACCACAGAAATCACAGATGAACCAATGGAATGAGACTATTTAGAAACGCTTAGATGCAGTATTTTACACACAGTTCTGGATTTAACACCATATAAACCTTTTAAATAACCTTTAGTTTTGTAAGAAAATCAAGTTGTAAATAAAGAGTTGTGCACATAGAAACAGTATGTATCACCTTCTCTGGGTCCTGCTTACTGCTGACTTTTTTTTTGCAGGGGTGGGGAGGTGTGATCAAATCAGTGGTTTGTACATAGATTTCTTTTTCTTTTTTCTTTTTTTTTGGCTGGGACTGGGTTGGAACCCGCCACCTCTGGTATATGGGGCCAGAGCCCTACTCCTTTGAGCCACAGGTGCCACCCCCATAGATTTCTTTTTAATTTAGAGTTAAAATTTTTAAACTGAAAGGTAATAATTGAAATTTTCAGATTATCACATTTAGTTTATACAGAGGGTGCCAATGAACGTATACACATTTTAAGGAAGGAAACAAACTGTAATTGAAAGATGTTCTGAATAAAATGAAATAATATTTATGAGCTACGAATAAAAACTCATAACAAAAGACCGGGCGAGGTGGCTCACACCTGTAATCCCAACATTTGGGAAGCTGACATGGGTGGATTGCCTGAGCTCATAAGTTCAAGACCAGCCTGAGCAAGAGCGAGACCCTGTCTCTAAAAAGTAATGGGGTGTTGTGGTGGATGCCTGTACTGCCAGCTACTGAGCAGGCTGAGGCAAGGTGATTGCTCAAGCCCAAGAGTTTGAGGTTGCTGTGAGCTAAGATGCCACAGCACTCTACCGAGGGTGACCAAGTGAGACTCTATCTCCAAAAAAAAGTCTTTATAAGAGCTATTAGATCTGCTTCTGTCTGAATGTCTATATGTATCCATATGTGTCATGTGTATGTGATGTTTTATTACCAAAATAAAAGAACTCTAAAAAATAAGCACTTTTTTTTTTTGAGACAGAGCTTCAAGCTGTCACCCTGGGTAGAGTGCTGTGGCATCAGAGCTCACAGCAACCTCCAACTCTTGGGCTTAAGTGATTCTCTTGCCTTAGTCTCCCAAGTAGCTAGGACTATAGGCACCTGCCACAAAGCCCAGCTATTTTTCTGTTGCAGTTGTCATTGTTGCTTTAGCTGGCCTGGGCTGGATTTGAACCCACGAGCCTTGGTGTATGTGGCTGGCACCCTACCCACTGAGTTATGGGTGCTGCTGACTTTTTTTTAAGATAAGAGTCTCACTTTTTCACCCTCAGTAGAGTGCCATAGTGTCATAGATCACAGCAACCTCAAACTCTTGGGCTCAAATGATTCTCTTGCCTCAGCCTCCTGAGTAGCTGGGATTACAGGCACTCACCACAATGCCTGGCTATTTTAGAGAAGGGGTCTTGCTCTTGCTCAGGCTGGTCTCAAACCATGAGCTCAAGCAATCCATCCACCTCGGCCTCCCAGATTGCTAGGATTGCAGGCATGAGTCACCACGTCCAGTCTAAAAAATAAGCTCTCAAGGCTAAGTGTGGTGGTTCACGCCTGTAATCCTGTAGTCTGGGAGGCCGAAGCAGGTGGATCACTTGAGCTCACCAGTTTGAGACTATTGAGCTCACCAGTTTGAGACAGGCCTGAGCAAGGGCAAGACCTCATCTCTACTAAAATTGAAAACCTGAGGCAAGAGGATCATTTAAACCCAAGAGTTTGAGGTTGCTGTGAGCTATGACACCATAGCACTCTACCAGGGGTGACAAAGTGAGACTCTGTCTTTAAAAAAAAAGTAACTAACTCAAATGCCTTTTAGTTTACATGACTTTAATAATACACTTATTGACCTCTGCTCAGTTTTCTTTTGATTCGATCACACCCTGATTCATAATTTTGCTTTATATTCACCTTCAGAGGGAAATAATTAACACCGGCCTGAATACCT